GACTAAACACAAAGTTATGTTTCCTCTATATGTTATGTATGGATCAATAAGTTTTTTGTAAAAAGTTGAACCAACCAAACCACATTGGTTTGGTTTGGTTTAATTTTATTTCTAAAAGCCAATTGAACCAAAATAAACCGCACGTTTTTTTGCCACCAAACCAAACCAAACCATATTGGTTTGGTTCAATTTTATTTCTAAAAGCCAATTGAACCAAAATAAACTGCACGTTTTTTTGCTTGCGGTTCAGATGATTTTTTTTTGTCAAAACCACCCAAACCGTGCCTAGAACACCCCTAGTTATGGAAACTGAATAATGAAAGAACCTATCTAAGATGAAGCTTTAAGAGTTACAAACATCATTGAAGGCTCATGAGTTAAGGTTAAGTCAGAGGAATTATGAGATGGTCACAGAACAAGCTCTACAAGCCAAGTTCTTCAAGAAGATGAATGAGGATGCCCCAAAGACCAAAAAAGGACAAATAATATAAGAAGAACTGGAATGATTAACTTGTTAGAAAGAATTCAAAGATTCAATGAGAGACAAGAAAGAGTGGTGCCTCTCATAACAATAAATTCAAGAAGAAAATTGATATGAAAGAAGCTCAATGGTATTGTTTCTAGAAGTTTAGCCACTATGCAAGAGGTTGATACTTCAATAAAAAAAAATCCAATGTTAGTGAAAAATATGAGTGAAATTTGCATATGTAGGCAAAGATTCTGTTGAGGACATACTAATGGCCAAGACAATTCTGGCACAAGATAAAATTAATGTATGGTATCTTGACAGGCTATCGTTATCACATGACAGGCAATAAATACTAGTTTGTTAAGCTTGATAAATTGGTGAGAGTGGACATTAGATTTGCTCAAGATAGCAAAGTTACATTTGAGGTTTATAGAGGACATTCTTGTGAATAAGAATGTTGGAGAAGAAGTAATCATAAGTGATGTTCTATATATTTTTTCAATGATAAGTAACCTGATATGCTTGAGTTAATTGCTTGATAAGAACTCTACTATAAGGCTAGAAGATAAGGATCTAAAGGTGTTGGATGCAAGTTTCAAACTAATTTTGAAGGAACCTTTTCCATACAAAACTTTCAAAATCATAACCAACATTTTTGGACATCAATGTCTTGCATCAACCACTATTGAGGATCAAAATTGGATTTTGCATCACAAATATGGTCATTTGAATTTTAGAAGTATGATTTTAATGCATATGAATAAATGGTGTATGTTCTTCCTCAAATCAAAATGTCAGAGCGTTACATGAAGAATGGTGTGTATCCAAGTAGAAAAGGATGTCATTCAAGCATGTCATGCCTATGAAGTCAAAGAAAAAGTTGGACATTATTCACTCAGATGTATGTGGGTCATTTGATGTAAATTCAATGAGAGATAAGTTTCATTTTATAATCTTCATAGATGCATTCACCAGGTACATGCAAATTCACTTGATGGAGAAGAAAATTGAAGTATTCATCTACTTCAAGAAGTTTAAGCTATTAGCTGAAAAAAAAAGGTTGAATGTGATATCAAGAGCTTGAGAACTTGTGGAGGAGGTGAATATAATTCAATTGAGTTTTCATAATTCTATGAGAAAAAATGAATTGAGCATGAGATAATAGCTCTCTACACAACTAATCACAATGATATTGTTGAAATAAATAATATATGCATATTGGACTTGGAAAGATGCATGCCTAATGTAAGACAATTTCCAAATCATTTATGGGGAAAGGCAACCTCAATTGTAATACACATTATCAATATATTCCTAAAAAAACAAGTTAATAATAAAACACTATATAAAGCTTGTACTTGTTTGAAGCAAGGTGTAGCTCATTTCATAATTTTTGGCTCACTTTGCTTCAGGCATGTGCCTGAACAATGAAGAAGAAATATGGATGATATAAGTAAGCCAATGTTCATCATAGGTTACCACTCAACAAGTGCATACAAAAATTTATCACCTAATGAGAATAAGTAGAGATGCAGTTTTTGAGAGCAAAGGGTGGAACTTGCTGAAAGTTTCAAATTATCTAATACAAAATGATGCAAAATTAAGTAATGTTAGAACAATATTGCAAGAAAATCACGTAGAGGAAGTTGCACAAGAAAATAAGATGAGGATATCAACTAGGTCCATACCTTAATCAACTAGGCTAATTGACTATGAAAGATTTAATTACCAATCAATAGATGAAAATTGTGACCTAAATGAAGAATGATAGCTGAATGTGAGCTACGCACCTCAATAAAGCTCTGAAAGGTGAAAATTGGCAAGAATTTATGAAGGAAGAACTCTAGGAAATTGAGAATAATCAGACAAGGGAACTTATAAATCACTCAACCAAAAGAGCAATAGATTTAAAGTGGGTCTATAAGTTAAAGCTCATATCGAATGGTGAGATGGCCATGTACAAAACAATGCTAGTTGCAAAGAGGTTCGTTCAAAGAGTTGGGATTGGATTCAATAAGGTATATAAACCAATTGCAAGACTTGAAACCACAAGATTAGTGGCGGCCATTGAAACATACAAAGGTTGAAGTATGCATCAATTGAATGTGAAGTCATATTTTCTCAATAGACTATTAGAGAAAGAGGTATATGTCAAGAAACCACTAGGTTTTGAAATCAAAGGGAAATAAGAGAAGGTGTACAAGTTGAGAAAATCAATGTATGAATTGAAATAAGCACCCAGAGCATGGAACTAGAGAATTGGTGGTTTTCTCATCAAGTTAGGGTTCAACAAATGCACATTAGAACATGGGGTGTATATGAAAGGTTCAAGTGAGCAGGACCAAATCATTCTATGCTTATATTTAGATGATATATTGGTAACATGATCAAATGAGGTTGAAGTTAGAAAATTCAAGGCCAACATAAAAAGATATTTTTAGATGTGAGACCTAGGGAACTTGGCATATTTCCTAGGAATGGAATTTGTGAACACAAAATTTAGTGTTTTCTTGCACCAAAAGAAATATGCAGAAGATATCTTGAAGAAATTCAAAATGAAAAATTGCAAACAAATAATTTCTCCCATGGAAATAGGTACAAAGTTGAAGCTCAAAAATGATGAACTTGTATATGCAACCTTGTACAAGTAGATCATTGGCGCTCTAAGATGCCTATGCAACACTAGAACTGACATTTGCCATAGTGTTAACTTAGCAAGAAAGTTCATGGAAAAACCAAGATCATGTTATCTACTTATAGCTAAAAGAATCCTCCTATATATTAAAGGTACTTTAGATCATGGTATACTCATGTCATATCAAAAGCGCACTGTAAGGGTGGCTAATGCTTATGGCTATTCTTAATCAAATTGGAGAGGAGATCAAAATGACCGAAAAAATACAATAGGGCTCTTTTTCAGGATTAGTGCGACTCCAATTTCATGGAGCTCAAAGAGACAAGGAATAATGCCTCCGTCATCTTTTGAAGCAAAGTATGTTGCAACCTTTTATATGCAGTTTTCCAAGCTTTGTGGATGAAAATATTATTGATAACAAATCATCAATTAATTTGTCTAATCATCCGACGAGTCATGAAATGAGGAAGCATATAGAAATGAAGTATCATTTCATAACAGATCAAGTTATCAAGGATAGATTGAAGATTGAATATTGCAATACTGAGTTACAAGTTTTAGATATCCTAACTAAGCCATTGAAGAAAGCAAGTCTTGAAGGTATAAAAGAATTGATGAGAATGAGAAGGCTAGTTGATCTGAATTAGGAAGACTATTGAGATTGTAGTTCAGATTTAGTGTCAGTTTGATTATCTTCCAAGTGACTTGCAACACAAGCAAAAATAATAAAAAGTTGATAGTTTTAAAATTTAGTTAGTTAGTTACTTTTCCCTCTATATAAATTATTGTGATCTGTTATAATTCCTCCAAATCATTCATTCCAAATATCTCTTTCCTTAATTACATTTTGCACCTCTCTAAATTTCACCACTCTTTTATTTATTTATTTTTATGTCCATTACTTTGTGAATAAAAAAATCACGACATCCCTTTAAAGCTTCTATCTAAATGAAAAATTATCTTTATATCATTAGGTAATTCCGTTTGAATCTATCTCACATTTATGTAAAGATAATAGTTGTGATGATCGTATAACAAATATCAATTTTCACATTCAAATGAGATTTGATGGGACTTCATCCTCTTTGTACAAAAAATAATTTCACAAGAGATAAATTTAATTTAGCCAATTTTTTTGAAGGTTAGGTTCTTGTCCATTTTTATTTTCATTTATGCAATATTTATTTTATTTAAAATTTATTGATGTTAAATTTATTATTCTTTTTCTCTTTAATAATCATGTGTATTTTTAAATGGTTATTACTGTGTGTGGATAAAGGCCTTGTGCTTATACAACAAGTGTCACAGCACAGGGACTTCAAATGTCTAGGGGTCTCAAAATAAATGTATATATAATAAATGATCTGACAATACATGATATACTTATGCCTTTGCTTTTTGAACGGATAATGTTAATTTAATACTCAAATTAACACTATACAATATAATATACAATTGATTTAACTTTTTAACATGTCATTGCTACTTTGAAATACATGCTTATATACAACACCATAACATTGAGTTCTACAATAGTAGTAGTATTTACTATTTGGTGTCATTGAATTGATATTAATTTTTATATTAATTATTCTTAAAATGTGATTTTTTATCCCATTTTATAATCTCTGAGAATTTTTATGATTATTATCACTTATTCTATATAAATAAATAAAAAACAATTATTTAGTTTGGTCTCACTTCATTTATGGTATGAATACAATCACTATCAATGTGTATGTGATCATATCGTATAAAAAAAGCATAAAAGTAACATAGTAAATTCACTTGAATAATGAATACAACCACAATTGATGGCCACTATAACATGCAATAATACCAAAAACACATAAACCACAATTTTAGAATTTAAGTTGATTGTCACAAAATATAATTTTAATCTGTTTTATCATGTGGACAAGTTGTGACTGGTTTTAAGCCATGTTTGAGTGCTGCTTGCCACACAAGATCAATTCTCTTCACATCAATGGCTCCAACTTCATGATGACTCCATCCTTCAAGACTGTGTACCACTCCTCCAGCATGGCATGCATGAACTACTCCTCTTTCCATTGTGTACTACAAACAAAAATCACCAACATTTTATTATTTTCTATCATTTTCAATTAACCTAATCTTACACGAAAAGTTAGTTATACTAGTTAGTTACGGCTAATGGTTATTCATTAGTCACACACAAAAGTTAGTTATATAAACTAGTTAGTTACGACTAATTGTTCTTTATATATCGCAAGCAAAAGTTAGTTACATAATTTTTATTTTATTATTCTAGATCAATAATTTGATCGATAATAAGTTATATAAAAAAAATATAACATGAGAAAAGAACGATGAAATTTATTGTTCACCTCACAGCAACCGAGACCTTCCACGTCTTCTGGCAATTTCATGGCAGCGAGTTCGCCATAAGTACAGTCTCTTCGGAATGATAAAATTGGTGGAACAACAAATTGATGAAAATGGGTTCCTTTTGGTGCCCAACTTTGTTCTCTTGGAGTTATCCATTTCCCAACAATCCATGTCTGTATTAATCACATTGCAAATTAATCACATTGTAAATTAATCACATGAATTTATAATTAGTTATACTAAAACCAAATTTTCAAAATTGTTAATCAGATGTTAGTTCAGTGGTAAGAGTTTTAACCTTGCAGTTTTGTGCTGCTTGGTATTTTGTAACTTGAACAAGGTAACTTTGGTATTCAAGAGGAGCTTCTTTTTGAATCTTATGAAATCTATCTGTTGAAATAGTTAACATCTGCAAAATAACATAATTAGATTAATTAAGAATAAATTAGAGTAATTTATAAACATCATTAATTCAAAAAATTCTCTTGTCCACCCTCTATGAAGTTAAACAGTGCTAGGCTTCCATCACATCACTGCAATTTCATTTAATCATGGACCACACACATATGATAAATTGACAGCTAGCTTTTAATACATTTAACTCAATAGTACTTTTATGATGCAATTTTATCTAACTTTGAAAACTCAAATAATAATTATTCGAGCATAGATGAGATGAGATCACTGTATAATTGTGCAAGAACATTCGACTGCAGAGATAAAGCGAGAAAAGTTACCAGAACTCTAATTTTCTTTTCGCAAAGGTAGAGAGCAATCGCTCTTCCGAGTTTGGAAGTAGCTCCGGTTAGGAACACTTCATTGACACCTTGAGGGATCTCATTGAGAATGACAGCAGCGGTTAAGGTGTTTCCGTGAACAACTCTAACCCTAAGGTTTGGATGTTTGTCCACAAAAAGCTTTCCTCCGCCATTTAACGATTCATTCTGTATCAATCAAATAATAAGAATATAAAATAAGATTTAATTCATATATACTGACAATCAATAAAAAATGCTTATAAGTTTGGAATATAAAATTGTATCAGAGCCTATCCTAAATCCGTACAACAACAATTATGATGTACTAGTATATAATTTGGTCATGTATCAAGGACATTAACTTTGCAAGTTGCAACTGCACAAAGCATTCAAAGCTTCAACAACTAAGCATAGAAAATGCTAGATTCAATTAATCAAGGTTTTTATGAAATATATGTTCTTTCTCTAGCCATGTTGTTTAGTCAGTTTTTGTCTATTTTAGAGCATCGCTGGTGCTTCTTTTCTTATTTGTACCTTTACTCTTATTCATCTTTTCGTGATTATATATATTTTGATCTGCTTTGCTATTAAAAAAAATATAACAATAGAAAAGAAATTCGATAATATGACAAACCTTGTTCAATGCAGCTAGACTAATGACTTTAACTCCCATTTTATCGGCTCTGAGGATAGATTGCTCGATAAGCTTGTTAATTCCATCGGTAGCAAATGGCAAGAAATACTGTTAAAAACAAATTAACAATATAAAAATGAATACTTCTTATCATTCATCTACAAATACAATATAGTGTTGCAAATATAAAGACGGTTAGGTTTATAGAGAAATTTTTAGAGTAGATGACCGACCTGGAAGCCGCATCGTGGCACGACCCAGGTTTGGTGAAGTCTACCTCTAAGGTTATAGAAACTAAGTAAAAACGTTTTGGACCGAAGCCACATAACCATCACAACTATAAACGTAAATGGCAAACATGGGATGAAGAAGAGTCTTGTGGTGTAAGGCAGCGAAGAAGTGGATCGTAGAACGAACGGAACATGCATGGCGGACGATATATCCACCATATGAGCTAGGAAAACAAAATCCGGTACCCTAGCTTCGTTCCCTGCATCGACACACAGATTTATCAGTAACATAACACCACAAAATCATGAAAAAATGTCGATAACTTGTAGAACAAGCTAACTAATTACCTGAACCCGAACTTAAAGTTTTGTGCAATGTCCATGATTTTGTGTTGAGTGTGTTGCCTAATGCATCAAAGAGAGGCATAAAGAGGCAGAAGTTAGTGTCTTTATCAGTTCGGTGAAGATTGTGATATCTGCAAAACATAGAAAAAGAGATGATGAGTAAATTATAAACATTGTTTGGTTTGGACCACTATTTATGAATGCTTAGTTCTGCAAATTTTGATGGAAAATGATGCAAGTTAGATACACTATGCAGAAGAATTTAATGGTCTTACAAAAATTTAATAGTGTTTTATCTGAATTATTGGACAATTATGCAAATGTTTGATTCTAGTGGAACAGTTAAATAAACATTAATAAACATTAATGTAGTTCAATTGCTTAATTAGGTTTTTTTTTTTTTTTCTAAAACAAGCTCAAATTTATATGAATTTATTTTTGGGAGTTTTTCAATTAATCCTAAAATAAATAAAAAAAAGTCCACTACCCAAAAAATATTAAATAATATTTTTGACAAATTTGCAATGGATTTAAGATAAAATTTTAGCCATTAAATTATTGGGCCAATTTTTTATTTATAATCAACCAAATAAAATTTAAAGAACTTAAAAATACATTTATATTCTGAAATTACTCTTTCAGTTTAACTAAATATTCTGAGTTCGAAATCAATCAATTTTGAGACTACAACAATATTAAATATTTTTAAAAAAAATTTATTGTCTATTATAATTTTTCTCTGCTTCGAAAAATTATTCTCTAGAGTTGCGTGCGGAGATATTTAGTTTATAAAACATAAAAAATAAAAATAAAAAACTAAAGAAACCAAGCATGTTGCTATATTGAAATAAGAAGTATGGTTCACATTGAGATTTTGGTGGTGATTCATTAAATGGTCATCACTTTTCTCACCAACAAACGGATAGAAATGAATGAAGGACCAAATCTCATGTCAAGAAATTAAAAAAAGTAATGAATAGAAGCAAGATATTTTTGTACTTTGTGAATCAACTCAAATCAAAGATGCATTAGCTGTAATAATAATAATGTAAATGTAAATTTTACTAAATAAATAAACTTACGTTGGTGTGTAAATCACATATTTAAGAAATGGAAATGCCTCAAACCACTTGTGTGAAACAATTTCAACATTGCAATGACCTAAACATCTTAGGTAATCAAAAATCAACACATAACCATATACCAAACTTGTTGATCCATATCCCATCATAGAAGTCCCAAATATTGGGATTCCAATCACCACCATTAAAATTATATGTTCCATAAATGTTGCATTTCCAGCTGCACCAATAAAAACTCATGTTCAACCACCAATACAATATTTTTATTTATTTCAAATAAAAATAAAACAGACTCAAATCATTTTATATCGTTTGTTCTGTTTTGTCGTAATCTTAACCATTCAGTTGTTTTTTTTTCTCTCTCTCTAGCATTCTTTTTTTTTTCTTTGTTTCTATGCGATCAAAATATATGAGTAAAAGAGGATCCGTTTTAAAAAAAATTACACATTGATTTCGAGTATATATAAATTAAACCCTAAAATCATATTTAACACTATAAAATATTATGGATTAAAATAAACTATAGAACTAGGTTCCTTTCAAAAACAAAAAATCTATGTAGTGATTTTAAAATTAAGATCTATAAATCTCACCGGTTAAAGGCGTAGGCACCGGAGACGAATGATGAAGTGAATGATAATTTTTGAAAAGATAATCTCCATGAAATTTCTTATGAACCCAATAATAAACCGGTTCGGAAACTCCCACATGAAGAATCAAAGCAAGAACAAGACCTTTCACATTCCATATAGGAAGATGTTGAAGAAATGGAAAAATATAACAAACTATGGAAGCAACAAGTGTTTGAAGAATCAAGAAATTGTCCCTGTTTGAAATAAAAAAAAAAATCAATAATGATACATAAATAAATAACAATAGTTTGTAAATTAAATAAGAAAAAAACATAAAATTTACCAGTTCCATTCTTTATCAATCTGGTTAAAATCAACACCTTGTTGAAGAATCTTTCGATTTCTAGTAAGAAAAAGCATGTTACTATAAGAACTCCAAAATACGTGTAATACAGTTCTGAGACCACATAGTATGATCAAATTTAGGCACCACCAGCTTAGGTTCAACTTTGAATGTTCCTCTTGATTCATCATTTCATACACCACTTTTCCAACAATAGGTCCATAAAATACATACTAAAAAAATTTAAAAAATCATGTTAGTACCATAAAAAATATTTTGTAATCATCACAAAAAAGAAACAAAAATACATAGATGTTTTTTTTCATGATGTTTGTACCTTAAATACTCCAAAGTTTTCCCATGGCCATGAAGATAAAGGAGCACCCATTTGTATTTTTAGTATTTTTTTTTTATGCAAACCTAAAAGAGTTTAAAACTGTCAAGAGAATGAATCAGAAAGGAAGAAGAAAGGAACCAATGAAATTGAAGTTTTTGTGTTCTCTCTCTCACTCTCTCTCTCTCTCTAGTTTTCCTTGTTAATGGGAAAGTGTATATTTTAAGATGAAGTATCTAAGTATCCAATCACATCATATATTTATAAGGGGAGTGGAGATGTGTGGCCAAAACAATGCAGTTAATGTGGTCGCCCACCTGTTTTTTTCCACACTAAAATAATACTAGTAATTTTATTTCATAATGATTATGATATTTTATCATTTTAGGTAAAGTAAAAATATAACCGACTCCATATAATGTGAAACTTATTTAAATGTTAGAATAATTTTTTTAATGGGTTAAATAGTTTTTTGGTTTGTATAAATTTGGGTATTTTTGTTTTAATTTCTATAGTTTTTAAAAAAATATTTTTTTATTAAATTTTCTAAATTTCAATTATTAGAATTAAAATCTGTAAGTTCCTTGTGGATTTGTTTTATTTTTTTTACGGATTTAAAATCTGAAAACTTTTTGATATAGATTTTTATTTTAGAGATTAAATCCAAAATAATTTTAATATTTATGAATTATTTATAAAAAAAACTAGAGACTTAAAAAAAAGACTTAAACTTACAAATACAAAAATATTGTCTAAATATTATTAAATTATTTAATTTTTTTATAACAAATATGCCCCTACCTCTACCAAACAATCAATAACAATTAACAACTATTTAATTTTTAAAAAATATTTTAAAATAATTTTACGATTATATTTATAAGATCTAAAATTAATGTTAAAATCGACAATTAAATATTTAGTTAATCATTTTTCAAATGAACAATTCCATGAATAGAATTTAAAATTCTATTTTTTTTTCTTCGAGTTATGTTATTAATGTTTTATATAAACACAAGAAAAATTAAACTTTATAAAATTAAAATAAAATATTGTTTTGATAATAAAATATATAATCATTAATAATTTATTTACATTAAAATATAAATCAAATATAATTTTTAGTTTATATAAAATATTTATGTTTTAATTTTTATAAAGTAAAAACTAAAAATTATCAAAACTAAAAATATATTTAATCTTAAAATTAATCATAATTAGTCCATAAATCCCTCAACTTTAAGCGAAGTTTTACTCTTGTCTCTGAATTAAAAGACGTTTCACAGTGGTTCCTTAACTTCTTTGCTGTTAAACTATTTGGTCCCTTCTGTTTGTTTGGATGAAAAAACGTTAATTATGACTGAGGTGACATGTCAGGTATGCAATTAGCACAGTGAACAGTTAGTTGTTGTGTTATAAACGGTATAGGATTCATGATTTCCTATTCTTCATCTTCCTTATTTATTTTTAATATTCATTCATCTGCAATTAGTATGTGACTTCCTATTCTTCCATCTTCCACCGTGTTCCTTTTTATTCTCAATCTTCCATCTTTCATATTCCATCAGTGCTTCAATGTCAAAGAATAGAAACAAATGCTTCAATGTCAAACAACCAAAGCTTTGACATATATAAATTTGTGCTTCAATTTTGATTTTGTGTTTGGGTAACAATGAATAATGGTACTTATGTCTTAGTTTTGTGTTTATTTTATGACTTATTTTAAGAAGATTTGTTGTTGTAAAGGATCTTAAAGTGATATGATGAAGTCAGTGCTTTCAAGAAAGCTATAGTGAGCATTTTTACTTCTAAATAGATTCTTTTAAAGTGAAGTTTATTCTTTCAGAAAATCATTTTTTGTTTGGACTATTCCTTTGCAATTTGGAAATAATTGAAGAAACATAGTTTGGGTAAACAATTTTTTATAACAAAAAAATTAAAGTTAAATTAAATTAAATTTGTCGCATTTTCCTCTGGACAGGAGGGTTTGAAGGGAGCTGTAAAGCACCTGTAGCATGGAAACAAATTTGTAGCCCTCGTAGCCATGGCGGTTTAAACGTCGTTGACCTTGAAGTTTGGAATAAAGGAACTATATTGAAGCTGCTTTGGAATGTTAGCGGAAAGGAAGATTCACTTTGGATAAAGTGGGTACAAACATACTATCTCAAAAACAAAGATCTGATGGAGATCCAGTGTAAACAGAGTGATTCATGGATAATGAAAGGTATGCTCAATCTCAAGGAGGACTTTCAAAACATGAGCAATCAGGAAGAATTCAAGACAAGGGGGTTTTCCGAATGAGTAATCTGTATGCAAAATTACATGATTGTGGTCAGCCGGTGGAGTGGAGTAATTTGGTGTACGGTAACAACGCAAGACCGCGAGCTAATTTCATGTTGTGGCTTACTTGTCATGGGAGATTAGCAACGAAAGATAGATTGCATAAGTACGGTAAGATTGATGATACTAAGTGTTGTTTCTGCGAGAAAAATGAATCTCTAAACCATCTATTTTTTGAATGTGATTGCTTAAAGAGCGTTTGCACTGAGATCTTAAGATGGGCTCAAATTAATCATACCCCTGAAAATTGGCATAGCGAGCTGAAGTGGCTTATTCAACATACTAAAGGTAAAGGTGTCCGAGCTGCAGTCATAAAAATGGCGATTTCTGAAACCATCTATGAGATATGGCAGGCTCGGAATAAGAGCATTTTTGGGGGAAAATCGGAGATCACTACTATAGGAAGAAAAGTCATAGATACTTTGGTGTATAGAGGGTGGAGCACTAACAAATTTAGGAAGTATATAGTTATTTTAATGATAAGGGGGGGGGGGGGGGGGGTTTAGATTGATTGTTAGTTTTTTTCCCTTTTGGTCCTAGGCTGTCTTGTTTGTAGCTGGATCCATTAGGATCGCTTGTATCTATGTCTTTTTTTGAGTAATATATTTTACTTTATTTTCAAAAAAAAAAAAAGTGTTTCAAATAAGCCCGTTTGAGAAAATCATAAACAAGGTATGCATCATAAGAAATAAAAAGAAAAGAAGTGAAAAGGGCGTTATAATGATCTATGGTTTAAGAAAAACATTGCAAGAAATTCGTCCATGCTGAATGTGATTCACCTTGATGAAATTTGCAAAGATATGAGAATTGAAGCCTTTGAAATTTGCTTTGATGAGAATTGAAATAGAATTCTCTAGTGTGGACTTTTTACTGCATTCACTATACTATTAATCTTTAAATCTTGATTGTACGATTTATAAAAAGTAAATTTATAGTTTTAAACTGATCTCTTATATATAATTTTTTTTGTAAAAATAGATTCTACATCATACATAAATAGTTTAGCGTGATATTTTTTTAACGTTTTTCCAATAAAAACTATCGGAAAGGAGCAAACTATATAACGAAAGTGAAGTTAAAACATCATTATCTAACATGTTTTAGTTAGGAAACTGAATAGAAACTTTCTACAAAATAAAGGGACTAAATGATACATTAAACCTAAAATTAAATATTAAATTGATATTAACTCTTAAAGATTGACTTAATAGTGGAGACTTAAATTCTGACAATATGTTTTTTTTAAGATCTCAAATTTGAATCTTGACAATTTTTAGTGTTTCTGTTTTTACCAACCGAGTTGATTTGACAACTAAATATTTATTATCGAATATTAAAATTTTTTTATTTAAAAGTTTAAAATTTCTTTAAAAACAAAAATTTTAAATGTAAGACAATGGCCTAAACCACCTTATCCTTCAATCTCTTTTTATTAAATAAATAAATAAATAAAATATAATAATGATTTTTATTAGTTATTAGTACCGTTTAAAAATCTATTAATTAATTAAAAATTTGAAGTTATTAATTTATAATAAGTATTAACATTCTTAAATATTGAAAAATATATATTATCAATTAAAGTTGTTAATATTCCCCTCACCTCCTGAATCTTTTTTTCAATAATATAATTGATGTTTTATTTTAAATTGTATTGGTTAATTAGTATTACTTGTATTATTTTCAATTTTTTAATTTTTAATTTATATCTATCTAACTATAGATACAAAAGATAAATATATTATTGTAAATGTACTTTTTCTCTCCCTTTTACTTATAAGTTTTTTTTTTATTTTTAATTTGTATGAAAAAATATCAACTATGTGTGTGTGAAATTATTATGAGATAGATGTAGTAACAAATTTTTTACCTAAATAACCATTTTTCTCAAAAAATATTTCAAAATATCTACCTTTTAAAATTATTTTCTAAAATACTCTACTTTGAGGTATTGATTGTATGCAAGTGCCAAATGGATTGGTGACTCTTCACAAAGGCAATGTCTTGTCGCCAATTGTATTGGAGAGAACACATGGCATTGCCAATCTAATTGGTAACACAGTGTAATATTTACAAGGGTGTCGCCAATTCATCTAGAAACAACCTTGAAAGTAGAATTTTATTCTATAAATAGAGGTGTTCTGATCATTTAGTTCCACAACTCATCTCATATCTTTGAGTTACTGAAAAAATGTATTGTCGGTGGTGGAAAAAAGTTATCTATTCGAGAGAGAAGCCTCCGATGGACGTGCTGTTTTGGAACATTCAAAGTTTCAATCAACTTAAGAGGGAGTTGAATCGGTGGTTAGAAGGAGACATTGGTGAAGGAAAAAAAATTCGAAGTATTCAGAGACTTGATCGCCTGCGTGGATGGGTTCACGTTAAGACTGACAAGGATGCGAAGAAAGTCATGTTTGGACCGAATGACATTAGTTTGGTTGTTGTAATCAGTTAGAAATGTTTTATGTTTCTTTTTTTTATATCTGTTTTATGTGTCGTATGTGTTATCTATTGTTAGTTCGCGGTATGTGTTGTTTGTTGTTAACATTGTTATAACAAAGGCTAATTAATATATGAAAATATTAGGTTACAACAATTGAAAGGATAAACTAAATTATGATGCAGAGGTTGCTCCGACATTGGGACAATTTTTTCAGTTGTGTCCAGCCTGACGACATATACCGCATAATCTTACCATTTTATCAGCCGTATCC